CATCAAATTTATTAAGAAAATGCTAGCAAGCGGTGCTTGATTGATAGAATTTTGTGCGGACGGACCCAAGCCCGACTGATCCTCCAGTCTGCTCTCCCAGCTTGTAAACCACTTCCAAGTCGTTCTATCTGTTACCGTATCCTCGCACTAATCCTTTTACACTAATCTTGCGTGCAGTACCACTGGCCATGTGTTCTGCGCGTCAATGGTGTATGAGTGCAAGCGAATTTGTTCCCAAGACGTTCTATCTCAAAGACAGTATAAACAAGCTGTATAGTGAAATGTTCGCAATCAAGTGCAGATTTGAACAAAACCAAGATTGCTGCTTTAGTTAAAAAAAGAACTTATGAAACGACACCCTAATATAAATGTGACATCATATCATTGCTAGAAGAGGACAATAAAAAAAAATTCTTGTTGATCATAAAAATCCTCTGTATTGTTCGTTATTTTAGAAGTAGCTCAACGAAAAAAATATGCTAGATTAATGTTATCCTCGGAGATAAAGTTCTCGATGAAGTCTTGCGTGATTTTCACGTGGTGATCCTTGAAAATAGTTTTGCATGGATATACACTGAATATGTCCACTGTTGAATATAAACGGATCAGTGTGTCTGAACAACACAAAAATCTATGGAATATAGAATTTTACGAGCGCGTGTAACTCATTAGTTAGAAGTGTCCCGCTACACGCACGCAGTCGGTCAACAGATGCTGGATTATTCGATTCCGCGCTAAACATTTATCAAGTCTTCGCCCCGGGGGTCGGTGAATTGGCACAGACTTGTCTGGGAGAGTAGCAGCACTGACTTGATACGTCGGTAGGCCTCCGTGAGTCACGAGTCACTGTAAAGGCTAGACGTGCATTCAGTTACCTGAACCACTGCTTGATGGAGACGAGTGAAGGCGTATTCCCCAGGAAACACCGAGAGCTTTCTAGAATGGATAATCAGAAAATAAAGCAGAAGAAATGAAACAACTAATGAACGCAGACCTGATACGCGATGTAACATGAAGAAGACAGATATCCTCAAAAAAATTCCCTTCACAACGAAGTGAACGATTAAGGGATAGAAAGGGAAAAGCTCTAGGTGTTGACCAATCCCTAAGGGAATACGCCATGTTTCGACTTCATCACGCATCCGCTAGAGGGTGATCGGATGCGTATTTGGCCCTAATTGTGACTTAGCAAAGACCTCCCAATCTATCCTCTCCGGACAGGTCTGAGGCCGAATCGCCATCCCTAGGGAGGATGAAAAGCTTGTTGAGCTTTGTACGGCATCGCACCATTGATCACTTGGGTGTCCCACAGCACATCTAAACACTTCACAATCCACTCCACATTATATATGTCAGCATTATCGACTCTGCATCTTTGTAAGAAGATTCCTCAGTAAAGCTTTAACATTTGAGTTAAATCACGTCTTACACTGTCCACTTGTTTTCTCTATGGCTTCGCTGAAGCACGAAAAACTTATGAACGTGCAAAAGAAATCTTGAAGTATTAGTGCCATTTGTTTTCATCCAGAATAATTCCTGAGCGGAAAAAAATCCAAGTTAAATAACAAAATTGCTCTCGAGATGCGAGTAGTGCCAACGCGATCGATCGATGGCCGTGTGGAATCCAAGGCCAGCTCCCTCCCTCCCGCCCCTCCCCTCCACATATTGGCCTACAAACATGCGCCATGTATGTTGAAACTCAATCTTATTCTTCTTGTTACACTGCAATGAAATAACCTTTCCACGAAATAAGCTCATCATTAGAATGCACGAAACTTACGATATCGAGGGGTTAATAACAATATGCACTGTGAGAAATAGTTGTGTGTGTATGTGTGTGCAAAACATAGTTTTTCTTCTGCTGCAGCGTCATAAAAAAGGTGGTTTTTCTGATTAGAAAGGACGAGTGTAAAACCAATTTTATTCGCTTTAGAGAAACTCCTGTGTTGATAACAATTCGAAAGCTGCGATTTTAGGTTACAACCCGATATTGCCGGTTTTCCAAAACATACCTTTATAGCGCCGTAATCAAATCAAGTCGTTCCATAAACCTGGTGTTTCTGCCTCTTATCTCGATTATATTTCGCTAGACAAAGATTATTCCTCAACGTGCTAGTATCAAACTATAGCAGAAACTTCAAACAACTCAAAAAACGTTGTTTTTGAGCTCTCTTGATCTTTCGATCTCCCTTGGTTTTTTTTAGTCTTGCTTCAAACCTAGCCGGACAGCGATCTTTTTTAGACTAAATAGTAATAATCTGAAAGAGTAATGTTTTCTAAATCGGGCGATGTGCCTTGTTCTCTAAAAATGGCGTTCAGCAGGAATATTAATATCAAGTTTTAACATTTTTTTGCGGCTTTGCTTACTGATTTTCGACAAGGCGAAGGCAGTGGCAGAGGCGAGTAGATCAGGACGATCTTTTTGATATAATGTTATTCAGCTAGGAATTTTCACTCCGCTTTGAATGAAACTCTAGATAAAACGATTTAACAATATACTACAAGAGCTCCTCTACACATTGTGATGCTTTCCGGCTTGAAGCGAATCATACGTGTGATAAAAATGAAGATGAAAGGCGAGTGTGAAACATGAATATTTATCTGGATGCTACAGTGTTACAAAGGGGGGTTCTGAAAAACCGACAACGTCGGGCTGTATCCTAAAGTCTCAGCTTTCGCATAATTACTAGCACTCCTATGAAGTCTTCCTCCCCAGCGAATAAAGCCACTTTTCATTTGTCCCCTCTTTATGAGAAAAGCCAAAAAAAAAAACTTTTTGAAAAACAACCAAATAGTGCAGCAGTCAGATTTGTATATTTTCAAACGACACCAACAATGCATTAAAAAGTCCTTGTAAACCGAAGAGGTCGCTCATTCATCTGTCCCAAGATAATCGAAAAGAAACAGAAATTAGAATTACATTTACTGATAATGACAAACAGCCATCACACGTATAACGTGCTTTTATATGATGCATTTCATCAATGCGAATCCACGTCCTGCCTAAATATGCGCCGGCGACAACAGACGTGATTACACAAACTTCACGTTTACCTTTGGCAGAAGCTAAACTAGACTATAGATTCTTTGCACTCAGAATAAATTCAACAAATAAAATACTTGAAAAGGTGCTTTAACACATCATCGACTTTGGCATAGCGCTTCTCTAGCAAAGAATATTGTAGCGATTTTAAGAGATGGTAATCATTTAGAGCAGCATCTAGGCAGAACGATGGACGAATGAAACTATCCCGTCCTTATTCTTCGATCTTTTGCGATGTCAGACGCGCATTATGTGGGTGGGCGTGACGGCGTGACGCGGCTTTGATAAAATTATAGCAGACAATTTTGACGAACTCTGGCTAGTACACGGTCACGTTGTATGAATCGCCTTGTGGTGAAGTGGTCTACATATGTTGTGTTACTTTGGTGGCAGAATGACAGCTGGAACGTTCGAATAAAAATTCGTCAGCGCCCACTCTCAGCATAGCAGAATAAGCACTACGAGTGGACTGGCTAAAGACGAAGGTTAACTGCCCGATTGACGAGACGATCAAGATCGAAACACGTTTATTGGGCTCTATCAATCAGCTTATTTAACAGACCATATGACATGCGTGGCTCAAATATGATTGTCTGTCATATTCTTCAAAGTGTAGATCACCACTGTGAACGGTTTCTGTTATCGCTATGCAAGATTTCGCATCTGCTCGAAGTACTATTGATGCTGCTTTGAATTGAAAAACTCCTTACATGCTTCTTCAGCTGCGTTAAATTGTTCACATCGCGGTTATCCAAAAAAGTATTACATTGTTCGATGGAAGGCATAATCAGATGGAGCAACGTCTGCACTGTCGACGTGGTGCTAGTGGACCTCCACGCCGTCCACCTTTTCAAGCTTTTCCTTAGCCATCTTAGCCGTATGCGGCAGAAAAAGGGATGTCTGCAGGATCAGAAATGTCTCCTTTGAAGCGTTTGAACCATCTGCCAACGAACGATGTTTTCGCTATGCCAATACTTAGCTTGTTGTATTTCTCCCTTTTTTATGTATTTGTTTGTTTGGTCTCTTTTCGGTTACTGACGTAATCCACCTCATAAAGCCTTTTTAGACTTAGGATTTCGTATTAAGCGGCTGTATCAGAGGATATAATACTTTTTTCTAGTGCTGTCACTATCATATCATTTCTTTCATTTAATAGGAAATTGTAGCTCATTTTTTTTAGTTAGTTTAGTTAGGCTTAAGCTTAAGCTTAGACTTATGCTGGATTTCCAGTCATTCTTGTTCCTATCTTTCTTTGAAAAACGACAATTTGTAGGCCAGCTAGCTTCTTTTTCGATTAGGCCTCATGTCGCTAGGATGCAATGAAATTTTTAATTGTCCGACCAGCTAAATCAAACAGTAGCTGCTATTGATAGAGAATCCTGAGGTTTGCGAGGATTACTCAAGTGTTCTGAAATAGTTCACATTTTCCCTACTGAGATCGTGCACAAAGAGAGGAAAAGTCGGTTTTTTTTTTCAATTCATTACGGATTATATTATATCGTTCGTCTCAGTGTTTTCTGAAAACCACAGCTCAAATTACAATATGCCTAGTAATTATTTTTTTGAGCCAAGCTTGTCAGTGGTCGATTAATGAGGGCTGACTTATAGACTTAAGATCAAAACACGAGTATTGAGCTCTTTGAGTCAGCCCTCTTTAATCTACCACTGGCATGCGTCGCTAAAAAATGATTGTCAGGCACATTACGAAATACTCTAGTTATTTCATAAATGTCGATTCATCTATTTATGAAACTTTTCGCCTTAGTTTTGTATATCAAACAACTATGTAATAAATTACACTACGTAGTTCTGATTTTATCAATCATATCATTGTTATAAATTAATAATTAGTTAGTTTAGCTCATTTCATTGGGAAATTGATAGTATTTTCAGTGCATTTCGCACTGTTATGATCTTTTCTATACTCCTAAGAGAATTAAGTGGAGAGCAAAAACACAGCCTCAAGCGGGAATCGAACCCACGTTTCCAGCTCTATTATGGGACGCGTGCTCTACCACTACTCCACTGAGGCACATTTGCTCGACCACTCATTCTTCAGCATCTCAGTGTTAGCTATCAGCCACCAACCTTTTGACAGGTTTGGTCGGGTAAGCGATTTCGCTTTATAAACCCAGTTGAAACTGACAGCTATTCTAATTACTAATACTCGAAATTGATAGTATTTTAAATGCATTAATATTGTCACAGCTTTAAATAAAGGCGGAGTCGTATTTGTTCACCTGATACACGCCATTCAAATGTGCACAAATAGCTCAATGGAAAATAGAGATACATAATGATCCATCGGAAGCTATGTAAAGATATTACAATAAAAATTTCGCCGTTTCATAACGATATCACATCGACGTAAGAAGAGGGGTTCGATAAGGCGATACAATCTCGCCAAAAAACCATTCATTGCCACCCTCCAAAACGTCTTTGCGAGCATTAGAATAGGACGATTATCAGCGGGAATCGGCAGTCGAAAATTAATCAAATCTTTACTTGGCTGGTGACATCGTCTTCATAACAGCAGGGCATCAGCCAGGATGAACGAATGTTGAACGATTTCGACAACGCCTGTGGAGAAATTGGTCTCCGACTAAGTTTAACAATACAGTGTTTATCAGGAACGGATTGGTTTCGTGCACTCCATTCACGCACAACGGAATCAAAATTTTTGAATACTTCAGTCACGTATATAACATATGTACAATATGCCTTTGATCGTCTGTCATCTCATCGTGGTTGGGAAATGTTCCTGGGTGTCGACTGCAAAGTGTGACGGCGGGAGTTCAACGCAGGGCCACCCAAACAGACTGTGAAGGAGTCCGACGTTTCTCGAAGGAAAACCCGGTTAAGAATCGTACCACGAATGACCGCCCGTCTCGGTAGCTACTAGTCCTAAGATGATTGGTAATCTGCCTCTGATCTACAAGGGGGTCGGCAACTGCTCTAATGTGATGACGACACTTGATGAAGTCTTGGATAGGCTTACTTCGGTAGTCCAGAAACAGCCAAACCAACACAGGTTACCTGTGTTGGA